AGCCTTTTTGTTTGGGGGAAATCGTCTTATTTCTTGCATAAACACCAACACAGGGGTGGAGTGCGAGCCACCTCTGACAAACACACTTGTGTCCGATCTCAGCATCCCTTTTCAGGTTTTCTCCCCGTTCCATTTTTTCTCATTTTTGTGCTTCCAGTGATGCAAATTCTTGATCCATGTTTTTGACCAGCAGGAAACTGCAACTATTTCCCAATTTTAAAAAAATACTCAGGCCGGGCTGAGTGGCTCAGCCTGTAATCCCAGTACTCTGGGAGGCCAAGGTGAGTGAATTGCCTGAGCCTACGGGTTCAAGACCAGCCCGGGCAACTTGGCAAGACCTCGTCTCTACAATAAAATTAAAAAATAACTGGGCATGGTGGCACGCGTCTATAGTTCCGGCAACTTGGAAGGTTGAGGCGGAAGGATCACTGGAGCCTAGAAGTTGACGCTGGGGTGGCTGTGAGCATGTGTGCCACTGCACTCCAGCCTGGGTGAAGAAGTGAGACTCTATCTCAAAAAAAAAAACCTCAGAAAATAGTCTATCAAGTGATGTAACTATTGGGAAACTTTGGCTCTTCCAGGGTGATGACCTTTATTTTACTTACATTCTAAGAGCAAATATTTAAAATGAAAGTGTCCATTTGCCAGCAAAGATAGGCACTCTCACTGGAGCATAAACGGAAAGATCTGGTTTGGTCAATAATTTTGTGATGAGTTCCTGAGGTCATAAAACATTCCAAGGCAGAGAGTTAATGATTTTGATCCTGAGATGTTCTCCTGACTAAACTGTGCAAACACTGGAGAGATGCCTGTGAATACGCAGCAGTGGTTTACCGGGTTAAGGCTCCAAGGAGCTCATGCTACTCAGAGCCTTGCTCTCGGGAGGACTTGGTGTCCACTCGGGTTTGGCCTTCATTCTTCCCCATATCCTCTTGTGGAAGATGTCCCTTCACCCCATTCTCCTCCTCCCCAAAGCCTCTTCATGGATGACATTACCACCCCAGGAAAGACAGCCCTTCTGGGCCTGGGGCAAGGGACAGGAGAACTGGTCCCGGTTGCCAGGCTCTCGGGGCAGGAGCACTCCCTACTGCCTCTTCCCCCCACTAGCCACGTTGTCACCAGCAGGGCTGGCTGGCCCTGGCCCTTCCCTTCCAAGGCCTGGCTTCCTGCACCTGGGAGCCACATGTTGGCCAGTCCATAGCTCATCCCCTGTGTCCCAAGCACCAGGTGCGTGGCCCTGGCTAAAAGAAAATAATGAAACGGAAAATAATCCTGGTTTGCGGGACTTTTCCTGCTTACCCACCCCTCCAGGTGTCCTGGCAATGGCGTCTGACTGTACACAGTCACAAAGGGGTTCATCGACTCATGCATGCATTCATTCACTTCACTCCCTCATTCATTCGGCTTGGGTTAGGGTCTATACTTTGCCCCTTACTGGGCGCTGGGGCCACTGAGACCGATGGAGTCCCTGGTGTGCAGGCTCTCAGCAGAGCTGTGAGAGCCGTGACAGGAGTGGATACTTTTGAGGGCTCTCTCTGCATCAGATGCTGAGGAGAAGCTTGATCAGACTCACATCAGGAAACATGGGGTCCTTCTGGAGACGTGAAGGAGCAGTCCCCACTTGGCTGGGAGGGGACTCCTGAGCAGTCTTGCCGACTGAGGAGGACTCAGCAGGCTGGAGGGGAGAAGCAGTGTCGCCAGTGGCTGGACAGCCTGGGCTAAGGCTTGGCGCAGACCGGAGCTGGTGACTGCTCACAAGAAGCCCTGAAAGTTGAACACCTCCTGGCGACTTTCTGTGGGGGATGGGCTTGTTACAACATGCAGTCAGGGAGGAAGACTCAGTCTTCCCTTTGGCTAGCCAGGAGAGGGCCTCCACGGAGGAGGCAGAGTGCCGATTAAGGCCAGTTTGGCCTCTGACCAGCCAGGCGGCCTTGGGCAAGACACTTCACCTCTCTGAGCCTCAGTGGCACACCTGCCCAAAGACCCACGCGCAGAGTCACTCAGGAAGAAACCGTGGAAACAGGTGGCATGCAAACAGAACTGATCACACAAACCCCGCATTGTGAACATTCCTTTCTTTTCAAGAAAGGAGGTTCCCTCCACGCCTCCTGGCCGGCCTCCTCCTCAATTAGAGGGAACAGCAGGAGCAAGGAAACTGTGTGTGCAGAAGCCTTACCCAGGGTTTCTTGACTCTGCTGATGTGTAAGTCGGTGCTTCTGTGGCAAGGGGCCATCCTGCATGTAACTGGGTGATCTGCACACCCCTGGCACTACCCGCAAGGTGCTGGTAGCACCCCTGCCATTTGGGTAACTGAAATTATTTACAGACATTGCCGAATGTCCCTCGGGGACAGAATCATCTCAGGTTGAGGACTACCTGTCTTCTGTAGGGCCTGATATATGGTAGGAGATGAATAAATGTTTCTTCTCTCCTCCCCCCCGCCCCCTTCAGTTCTGGAAACAGCACTAACTTCAGTCCTGTCAGAGCCTCCAGAAGTCACTGCACAGACAGGGAAACAGGCTCAGAGAGGGGAAGTCAGCTGCCTAATGTTACACAGCATGTCACTGGTGGAATGAGCTAGGGACAAAAGAGACAAAGTAGCCTTAGCAAAAAGACCCCAAACACAGTGGTTCAAACAAGCAAGCTCATCCTTCCTCCCTTAAGAACTCAGAGGCACGTGGCCAAGGACAGGTGAGTGTGCCATCCGTAACGCACAGCTCTACTTCTGGGTTCAGGGCAGTTACTCCTGCTGTTCCCTCTAATTGAGGAGGAGGACAGCCAGGAGGCGTGAAGGGAACCTCCTTCCTTTTCGAGAAAGGAATGTTCACAATGCGGGGTTTGTGTGATCAGTTCTGTTTGCATGCCACTGGCCAGACCTCAGTCCTGTGGCCACACTTAGCTGCCAGGGGGCTGGGAGATGTAGCCTCTGGCTGATGGGCGCAGGTGTCCAGTTAGGTCAGTTAGAACCTGAGGAGGGAAGAGAAGGATTAACACCAGGGCACGGTCAGCAGTCCTCCCTTGTAGAGACAAGGTGGAGACCAAGATCTCCCTGGGCCACAGTCTCCTGCCATCTTGATCCTCTGATCAGTCAATGGACAGCAAGAGAGGGGCCGTCATAACAGTCATTTCATCCTGTGCTCACGTGATGTCAGGCCCCGGTCAGACACTTTCCGCTCATTGACTCATTTAATCCTCACAAAGCCCAGTGGGGAGGGTTTTATTCCGCATTCCCTCTGACAGGCATGAACACTGAGGTTCTGAGAGGTTAGGGAACTTGCCGGACATCACACTACTAGAAAGCGGCAGGGATTGGCCTGAGCTCAGAACTGCCGTCTCCTCGGCCTCCCCCTGTGCCGAGCAGCTCACAACCATGGCCTGAACTAAGGTCCCAGCAGGGAGCTTGAGACAGGGTGCAGTTCACTAGTCCAAGGCTCTTCAGGCCACCCCAAGGGCTTGCAGGACCCCCGGAGGCCACCTGACCCCAGGTGGCTGTGTGCATCACAGAGGAAGACCCCAGGCGAGGTAGCAGGGGGTGCAGGCCTCTGGGAGGCCCTCGCTCTAGATCCTGGCCTGGGTTTCCTGTGAGGTGAGAGCAGCCCCTCTCTCCCGGTGCAGAGTGACAATGTGCCTGCTTGGCGAGCTGGGCAAAGGTTCCAGGGTCGGATTGCCCCTGGCAAGAGGGGCTGCCGGTCCCAAGATCAGGGAATGTGGCGGCATGTGACCTGTGTGCCCCCTGTGAGGCAAATACGGCTCTGGGAAAGGGCCATGTCCGGCTCTCACACATGGAGAACTGAGGGGGCGTGCGTGGATCGAACGGCATCAAGAGGACCTGTCTCTCCAGGAAAGTGGGGCCTGCTGGGGAGCAGGTAGCCAAGTGCCTGGGGGCCGAATGCTGCCTCTCTGAACCAGGCTGGGAAGTCCAGGGCCCCACAGCCGTGGGTTCAAAGCCCGCTCCGCACTTGCTCACTACATGACCGAGATGAGTCACCTCGTTCCGTGAGTCTCGGCATCTCCTTGTCAAGTGGACGTGATAATGGAGTCTCCTGGTCAGGGTGCCGTGAGGGGCCAGGGGGTCCCAAGCTCTGCATGATGGTGGCCTCCATGATGGTGGCGCGTTGTCACGAGCGGCTGATGCTGTCTCTGCCACAGCCAGGCACGGCACAGGGTCAGCTGTGTTCTGGGACTGGCATGCAGGGAGGGGCTGGTCCCCATGGGACGGGTGGGCAGCCCTGGGTCCTTGACCTCATGAGAGAAGCCGGGTCTCCACACGGTCTGGGGACAGAAGGAGGGTGGGCCCTGGGTGCCCTCGGTGCTGCCTGGAGGAGAGCTCTCAGCTCACGTGGGCCCCAGCTCTGCAGAGGAAGCCTTTGGTGGGGGCCAGGTGGAGACAGGCTTGCAGGCCTGTGACCCACATCACTCGGCCCTGTACTGTTGCGCTTCCTGGTTCTCTGTGAGTCCTTAGAACTCCTGGGGAGGGGTGGAGGAAAGCACCAGGTGGGGCTGGCCCCGGGATTGACTAGCCACTTCTCACCACCTGTCTGGCACAGAGTAGGTGCTCACAAAACACTCACTGAATGTGTGAATGAATGAATCGGGGGTTCTGTTATTGCCTAGACTGGTTGTGTGATGTGAGCTAGCTTCTTGCCCTCTCTGTGCCTCAGTATCCTCATCTGTAGAACCAGGAGAGGGGGCAGATATCCCAATGTTCCTTCTGGCTCCTGATTTGGGTCTCTCTGGCCCCTGGTGCAGCCCCCCGCCCTGCCAACAAGTCCCAATGGACGGATGTGACCGACGACCCGGAAGTGCAGAAACAGGTTTTTATTGCTGGGTGGGATAACAAGTGCAGAGGCCGCTGTCTGGCTGCAAGGAGAAGGGACTTCTGGCCTGGCTCAGCTTCCACTCGGGTTGGAGGATGACATCACCTTCCCAGAGGGGATGCTGCAAGGGGCCGAAGCCAAGCCACTGGGGGCGAGCTGGAATGAGACCCAGGTGTCAGGGTGTTAGCAGCAGCGGCTGCCCTCGGGCAGCAGCCACTCACTGGACACCTGCTGGGATCCAAGCTGCCCTAGGCCTTCTGTCCAGTCCTTTCCCACACACCCTGCACGGCCTGAGGGCCGGGAGAGGGGGCTGGTGACTGTGATTTGGGCTCTTTCGCTGGTGCCTGGCACTGACCCCTCTTCACTCCCCTCACTCTCCTTCAGAACATGGCAGATGTGGAAAGACTGATCAGGCCCTGACTGGAGCCAGGATCGGAGCTCAGTATATGATCAGGGTCATGGACCAGTCTGAGAGCAAGACAAGGGCTCAGTCTGTGACCAAGGTTGGGGCTCAGGCCATAAGGGACATCAGAGCTCAATCTGTGAGTAGGAGGGACAGAAAGCTCAGTGTAGGTGTTTGACCACGGCTCAGATTCAGAGTGTGGCCAGAATCAGGGCCAAGCCTGGGGTCAGGGCCAGGGCTCAGTCTCTGAGTGGGATGAGGGCTCATTCTGCTGCTACAAAAGGAAGAGAAGTCACCACAGGCCCCTCGTGCACCTTCTTCAGATGTGGAGTTCCAGGCCGAAGTCTTCCAGGGGTTTAGCTGAAGGAACAAAATCAAGAGCAGCCTCAGTCTTGCCACTGAGCAGAGACCAGACCCCCTTAGCTGCTATTCTCTAGCGACCCATCTGACACTGTGGGACCTCAGGCATGTCACGCCACCTCCCTGGGTCTCGGTTTGTTCATCTGTAAAATGGGTATGGTGACAGTACTCGCCCTGCAGGTTGTGGGGATCCCGTGAGGTAGCCTAGGCAGAGCATGGAGTGATTGCCTAAGGGACTAGATTTGTGACTGTTTCCGCAAAAGGTGGCCTCCAGGGTCCCGACACCTTTGCTGACTCCGTTTCTACTGCGCCAGTACCCCCAGCCCTGCCTGGAGACCTACAGGCCAAAGAGAGGCCCCACGTGCCGCCCAGAGGAGTAGCCACAACCCTCAGCTTTCTCAGGACGGTGGGTCCTTCTGTCTCTCTGGGGGTCCCTGACCAGAACTGCCTGGGGGCAGCACGCCTGCCCTTGGAAAGCCCCACGTCCCAGGCTGCTGTGACTTACTGACGATGTTCTGTATGAAGACAGGATCCAAGGTTTGGATGACTATGCGGATCAGTGGGCACACCTGAGAGCCGAGAGGGGAGGAGGAGGGTCAGGAGGAGGAAGAGGGACCGGTCTTTCTCAGTTGGAGCAAGCCGCCCAGCACCCACAGAGGGACCTGAGGACTTTAGAACAGGGGTCCTGGCAGTCTGGATCCTGGGAACCCCAGAAGCTAGAATCCTAGCGCCTTAGAACATTCAAATTCTAGAACCTAGAATCTAGAGCGCTGACATCCCCGTACTCCTGGGACCCTTGAAACTGGCATTTGGAAGGGCTGAAGGAAGCCCTGGGGCTATGGACCCTCGTGCTTTCATGGCATACAGCTCCCTCCAGCGCCTACCTAGTGGGTGGGGTGTGGCTCGGGATCCTGCATTTCTAGCAAGCGCACTGAGGCTGGCCCTGGGGGCTGGTCCCTCTTGGATGCCTCCGTTCCACAAGTCACAGGGCCACCCAGAGGACTGCTTTATAAACCCACATTTCTGGGCTCCTCCAGAAGGACTGGTCTAGGGTCTCTGGAACACTGGGCCTAAGATCCTGCACGTGGTGCATATCGCTTTTGGGTGACACATGGATGAAAAAACCACCTGTTTTACACATCTGTGCTTATTTTCTTCAATTAACTGAGTGATAAGTTTTCTATTCGTGATAGGGATGTAAAGTTGCCTTTGAAAAAATACATGCACATGAATAAGTGCATTTCGTCAGGTTGTGCTGATGAGAAGGGGAGTCACCAGGGCACACAGGTGGTGCGTGGCAGTGGCGAGGCTCGCTGGAGGGCCTGGGTCCTCAGCTCACAGTTCTGCTCTCCATTTCGCTGCCCCCCCCCAGGGTCGGAGGGGGCCTGGGCCGGCCTCCCCAGAGACGTGTCCACCTCAGAAGGAAAGCTGCCCAGGGGAGACCGCCAGGCCCACAGAGGCCCTCCCCGCCTCCTGCCAGGCCTGGCTCCGGCCCCCAGGAGCAGGAGACTCACCTGGCTCTGCAACTTGAGGGACACGGCAGGTTTCAGTGTTTTGACCACAGGCTTCAACACCTTGTTGATCAGTTCGAAGTTTCTGGAAAAGACAGAAAGCGGGTACAGCCCAGTCAAGTGGGCAAGCGGTAGAGGGAGGGGAGAGGGGAGGCAGAACTGCCAGGAAGTGGGGGCGTTAGAGCCAGGCAGACACTGAGGTGCCTGTCCACCTACAGGCAGACCCTTCATCCAGATGGGTGCCCCAGAATCCCACGTCTGACCGGCTGCTTGCCCCAGTGCCCCATGAGATGTCTTCACCACCAAGACCTCATTCACGGCTTCCTTCAAGTCACACTTGGCTCCAGCTCTGCACCAGGAGCCCAGTGGGCCCTGGGGACACCGGAGCACCTAAGCATGAAACACGTCTTCCCGCCTTCAGCTCCCAGCATGGTTGGAACTGCCTCAGGGCAGCTCTCCCTGGCTGCTTGTCAAAGGAGGACTTTGCTATCAGAGGGCTCTGTGAAGCCCGGTGCTCTTCACAGGACTGTCATTTCCTCTGAGGGCTCTGTGGACAGACCGAGTGGCAGGTCCCTAGGGATGAGCTCCACGAGAACAGGAGGCTTGTCACCACCAGTCAGTTCTCCTGAGCTCAGAATGATACCTGCCTGGCACATAACACATGCTTAGCACACTTTAGCTGAAAGAATGAATGAAGTAAACATATGATTAAACATATCATGACAACTCATGGCAGACTCCAAAAGGCAAGAGAAGATTCTGAAGAGAGAGGACAGAAGGAGCCTGTCAAGGTCCTGAAGGATGAGAAAGTACATCAAGCTGGAGTGGAGAAAAAGGTGGTCTAGGGAGCCAGAGCAGCCTGTGCAAAGGTCCTGAGGTGGGAAGGGTTTTTCTGAGGCAGGAAAGGCTCGTCTTAGGCACACGCAGAGGCCAGCGTGTCTAGGCTAAGTGAGTGAGGTGGTGTGAAGTGATGCGAGGATAAGGTCAGGGAAAGCAGAGCCTGCGGGGCCCTGGAGGGGGGACTTGGATGTGGATCCAATGTGCAAAGAAAAGTCCGGAGGGATCTGGGCCACAGAGCAGTGCCATCTCGCTGGAGTAGACACAGCCTGGCAAGGGCGTCTTGGGCTGTCCCACAGAGCTGGGCCTCCGATTGTCCATCCAGCCTTTCCTGCTCATCTCAGGCCATGGTGCCGTCCCTTGGCTTTAGGAGGTCTCTGGCCGCCTGTGGTCAGATCCTCGGTTGGGGAATGGGCAGCCTCTTCTGCCCGTGGACATTGGAACTGACGTCAAGGACCCCACCTCGCTCCGGGCCATGGCCAGCCAGCCCCGGCCCTTGGCCTCCAGACTCCTTCCCCTATGCCAGCCACTGGCCACGGTCATGCTTTCTCCCTCCACCCTCCAGCCTGGGCCAGACCTGCTCTTTCAAGCACACAGTTTAAGATGTAGATTTTGTGGATTAAACAGGGATCAGCGGCTTAAACGGAGAGGATTAAGTAGTCAAGATCTCACTTCAGAAAATTTTCCAGTGGGTGGAGGACAATTCAGGGTCATGTCAAATGAGAGCCCGGGGTGGCGGTTACTCCTTCCTTTCCCTCTGGCTGGGGCAAGAAGGTAAATGCAATTGTATTCTCATTACTCTTGGGGAACAAGACCTAACACTAAAAGGGTCGATTCTCCGGGAAGACATAGCAATCCTAAATGTGTATGCACCGAACAGTAGAGCTTCAGAGGGCAGGCCGCAGAACGGGTAAGACGAAGGGCCCAAGAGGCAAGACCGCGTCTCAGTCATGGAGAGAACAGGCAGAGTCTCACAGATGTCATCATCATTGAGAGCTGCGTCTGTCCCAGGCTGTGTGCCACACAGTTGTGTTTTCTCGTCTGGTCATCTCAGAAGCCTGCAAGTTGGTGTTATTGCCATCCCAGTTTACAGATGTGAAAACTGAGGCTTAGAGCAATCCCGCTGGTTGTACAAGTAAGCGGCACAGCTGATATCTGAACAAGATCAACCTGACTTCAGACCTGAACTCTTTCGTCACACTATGCCATCTCTTAGGTAGAGGTACAGGGCTGAGGTTAGGGGTTCGCGGCTCCGCTTTGTTGAGATGGACCTTACCCGCCCGACAAGGAGAGTGACACACTGGCTAGGTCGCTGGTGCATTCTCCCAGGATCACGGTGGGCTGGTTGGTCTGGGGATCAGTCTGAATTCTGGCACTAATCATGAGGTCCACGGAGACCTTCAGGTCAACATCCCGGTGGACCAAGGGCCTGTAGGAAGCAAGATGCACAGTGAACAGTCTAGAAGTCCCTGCGTACTGCCCGCTTGGGCCCCTCTGCCTGTGTGGACGTTACTCAGAATGTCTGCAGGTGTTGTTAGCACGGTCCGGGTGATGTCAGCATAGTTCATGTTCTTTATGAGATTGAAATGTTTATATTGGAGGCTTCTTCTGGCTGTGTGGGTTTAGTTCACATGAAATTCTTATATGATATTACACTAATAAGAAAAATAATGATTAACATTCATTGAGCACAAATTACACGTAGGCACTTTTAAAAAGAGTTTTACCTGGATTAGTCCATGCAATTATCACAAGGATGCTATGAGAGAAGAGTGCTATTATCATCTGTTTTCAGAATGAGGAAACCTTGGTACAGAGAGGTTAAGCATCTATCCCAAGATCTCACAGATAATGCAGATGGTGTCATTAGTGCGTGTAATTTATAGAAGTTCTTTTACACATGTTCATTTTCCTGTCTCTCTCTCTCTCTCTCTTTTAGAGTCAGTGTCTCACTCTGTCACCCAGGCTGGGAAACTGCTAGGGGAGGGAGGGGCATGCCTCATCAACAAGGGTACCTGCATAATCAATGTTTGTATACCTAACCCTGAACTGTACCCCACATCTTTATAATAAAAAATTTTTTTAAACCCAAAAAAACCCTCAAGTACTTTAAACGTATATTTTGCATATGTGCTCTTTATTATGTACTGTGCGCCATTATAAGCGTTTATCAGTAGTGACCACTGCAATTTAGAGAGCCTCTTGAGGGACAAAATAATGCTGGAGGAAAATTTGTCAAAGAATAAGAAGTGTCTATAGCTTCTAAATTTTTCAATTTTTATAATTAGGTAAGTGCTATCATTTCAAATTCATATTCAATGGCATATTCTTTTAGAAGTTATGGCCAACAAGCCTCAGAACATTTTAAAGGTGGGATTTTCAGCCTGGAAAGGCCCTTTCATTTCTAGATTGGGAAACTGAGGCCTGAGGTCCCACAGCAGCAGGGCAAGGTGCAGAGGCCCAGGCTGGGCGTGCATCGGCCGTGCTGCCCTGCCTCCCCAAACCAGATTCTGATGTATACTCACAGGTTCACAGAGATGCTGGCGGTGATGGGGAACCTGAAGTTAAAGATACTGCCGTCCTCAGTTGGTTCAATCTTGATATCCAGGATCTGGAAGCCATTCACTTTTATCCTGCATAAGTCAGAGTGCGCCCTTGTCACTCCGCATGATGGCCGTCTGAGAGCACTGACCCGGGGCAGCCTCTTGCCAGCCGCGCCTTCTTCAGTCCTCACGGAACCTACTCAGAGCACTGGCTCTCCATCGTGAGGCAGCACAGCAAGGCTTAGACATGTGCTTTTCCCCAGGATTCCGGGGGGAATACAGGCCAGAGTCACCATGTGAGCCCAGAACTGGCTGACTCCAAAACTCCACATGTGGAGCCAACTACTCGGGATTTTGTGGTATGGATTCCAGCTTCCCTCCCCCGGGGGGATGTGTGAGATTTGGGGAAGAGGGGCCTCAGGCACCAGCAAAAAGGTAGAAGTGAGAATGGCTATAACCTTCACCCTGACCCTGAAATTAAATAGCGTGGAAGCCCAAACCCACAAGATGCCCAGACTGGCTGTGTAGCCTCGCCTCTAATGAGCTCAAGCTCCGGCGGGCAGGCCTCAGATCCCTTGGTTCTGTGGGGGAGGAACAAGGCTTGTCCATCTGTCTTGGTCTTAAACTTACCTCCCCAAAGGTATGAATACACACCTTTTTCCTGGAGCAAAGATCTCTACCCTAAAGCACCAACTCACCCCCAAGCATCCTTAAAGCTTGGAAGGAGTGGAGAAAGGACATTTCCCACCAACTTCCCGGCTTCAAGGATCTTCTGCTTCACCAGTTGCCAAGCGTTGGATTCCTGAAGCAACTTCAATTCGAGCTTCAGTTTCTGAAGGGGAACTGTCAAAAACAATTGCCAGTTTGTGTCATGTACCATTTATGAAGCAGCTCTTATGCTCTGGGTACCAGATGAGGCTATTTGCCTATGTTACTTCATTTAATCTTGACAACAACACATTGAGGTAGGTATTGTTATTACCTGCATTTGTAGATAAGGAAGTGAAGCTTCAAGAAGGTTAAGACATGTGTTTAATCACACAGCCAGGGAACCCTTATTTCCTTCATGCTAATATATGCTGATTATTTATCAACAAAGAAACCAGTTAATTGGCCAAGCAACCAATATTGACTGTACATCAGCTTCTAGGAGTGACTTGGGGGTCTAAATGAGCTTCTCACACGAGTTTGGAAAACTACATCAAACAAAATGAGAGAATAAGCTGAGAAATGAAAAATAAGGAATAAAGGTGAACAGCATGGCTCCAACACATGAAAGTGACAAGCGAGAGTCCCAGAATGACAGCTTTGCCACAGGCCCAGAGAGGAATAATTTATACAGGATCAGGACAGTGTCCTTACGGTAGGCTTCCAGAGAACAAGGAGACGAGATAGAGTACATGACTTGGCAGGTATAGGATGATGCATATGAAAAGGATGAAACATATGTGGGGAAGAAATAACAACAAAGCAATTATAAACTCTAGGAAAAACAAGAGACTACGGTATAAGAAGAAGATGTAATCATAGTACGGCAACTTGACTATGAAATAGACAGTATTTACCTAGTTATAATGACTTGGAGAGTGACAATTTATATAAAATTGGAGATCATATAACTCACTGGGTAACCTTGATCCTAATACTTCTTTCTCAGGGCCTCAGCTTTCAGTTAGAGTGGGTCCTTTCTGCATAACTTTGAAAGTTGCCTAAACTCTGACAAGGTTTGAAAGGCGGCCATTGCAGAAGTTACCTCCACTTACAAAATTGTTCTCAACGTGCTATTGATGTTTCCAGAAAATGAAAAGAAAGCCAAGTTCTTTTAACAAGTCAGCATAGAGGAGGCATGACTAAACAGAAAGGTAGGCAGCTGTACAGATACTTGGCTAGATAGGACTGATCTCCTTAATTTTCAGTGAATTAACACTGTCAGCAAGAGACTGTTAACCCAACAGAAGAATATGCTAGGGATGTGGACAAGATACTTCAGTTAAAATATGTAAATTGATAGTAGCTATATAAAAATGAGAGGTCGCTTTCATAATTAGAGAAATGCAAAGTGAAATAATCACAACCTTTCATCTGTGAGAATGGCAAACATTCAAAGCTGTCCATGCCCAGTGCTGGGAAGAGAGTGGGGAAAGCCTTTTAGAGACTGTTGGACAAAGTGTTGACACAGGAAATTGTTGACCAACAGCAGAGTTTTTGAGCTTTTGAGGCCCTACTTTAGGCATTATCTTGTGCAGATGCTGGTAAACGTTCATCAGGACAGGATATATAAAGAACATTTATTGTAACATTGCTTGTTTCTGGACAAATAAACTGATGAGCCAAGGATTGAATAGCCACCTTCTCAGCAAACCACCCATAAGGGCCACCCCTGGTGGCAGCCTCTGGTAATGCAGGAGTCTTGCTCAGGACGCTAACTCTTAGGTGACGCTGATCATCACCCTTGTGGACTCACCTTCAAGAATGTCGTCAACTGCTTTGAGCCCTTGGCTAATAACAGGTTTCAGCTTTTCCACATCATTGCTCAGCCCATTGCCAAGAGCCTCGAGAAGAGATGCTGAGGTCCCAGTGAGGAGACCGCATAGGAGAACAAGTTTCCAAAGCTGAGACATCTTCTGTCTTGACACCTGGATGGTCATGGGAGAAGCTGGAGTGAGAATGCGCACAGAGAGAAATGGAGTCTTCAGTGACTGCCTGCCACTCTCACACGCCACATCCTTTAGGATAGATGTGGTCATCTCCTGTTTTACAGACGGGCAGCCAAAATCAGAAAGCTATGGCATCTTGCCCAGAGACACACAGCCAGCAGGCAGAGGAGCTGAGACTTGAAAACTCAGACTCGACTCCAAGCCAGCCGTGGTCTTTACACAAAGGACTTTTGCCCAAGCTGTCTCCTTCACTTTTCACCTAAGTCGACTCCTCCTGGCTCTGGCCTCTGTAAGACATCATGCCCTCTGTGAAGCCCACCCTAGGTGCCCCCCCCCAGAAGCTAGGTTGGGGGCCCCGCCCACCACCTTGCTGCCTTCATACTCTGGTCAGAGTCTGGGTACCAAGTCTCTGACGACCTGTCTGCCTTTCCTGCCAGACTGTGAACTCCTCAAGGGAAAGACTGCAACTTATTTCTCCATTGAACCTCCAGACTCCAGTAAAAGGCCTGTGCCCAGTAATAGTAAGGTAAGTAAATAAATATGTTTTGGATAAAAGTATCAGCAAAATCAGTGGATGCCACCACATGACCCTGCACTGTTCATCAGTTTGACAGTTCTCTGTGTATAATCCACAGATCTTGAAATCTGCTCAGTTCAAATCGTTAGCCGCCCCCAGCAAGCCCGTCCCTCGCCTGTTGCCCCCAAAGCCTTCTGAAGACCACCACGTAGCTGCCTCAGAGAAGCCCACCACTCACAGGTTTGGAGGAGGATGCTCGTGAGATCCTTGCTCCCCTGCACGGTCTCCTGGGATTCTGAGAGAGGTGGTGGCCCTTATATTGTGGCAACAGCGGGGGAGCTGCCCGTGGAAGCAAGCCCCGGTTCCGGGACCATCCAAGGGGATTCCAAAGAAAATAATTCCCTCCAGGATGAGCAGTGGCTGTCAACCATAAGGTCACCCTGGATGCTTGAGTTGAAATGGAGGGACATGAGAGGATTCTCTGCCAAGACCGGGGTCAGGGCCTCCAGCAGCCTGCTGCCACCAAGAGGGGTCCTCGCGGCTGGGGATTGGGGACCAGACTGGGGATGGACACACGGGAGAACGTCTTGGTGGAGGACCCATAGTGACAATTCAGTCTAACTCTCTTATCATTTGGAAACAGAGACCCAGAGAAGGGAGGCCACCAGACTGAGGTCACCCAGCAAGACAGGGACAGACGTGAACTAGAACTGTGGCCCAGATCATCAGACTCAGTGACCGGAGAGGTCATTCTGCCCCATCTCCCTCTGGTGTCTGAGTGCAATATTCCTCATGGGCAGAGGCAGCCTCCACGTCAATGTTTGCCATGACAGGGAGCTCACTACCCCCCAGCCTGCTTCTTACATCTAGCTGGTAGAAAGTTCTTCCTGAGAGTTAACAAATCTGCCTGACGATACTCCCTTTGTGGGCTACAGTGAGTCCGGAGGGCCAAACGCCTCACCGGGGACTGCATAGCCAGGGTAGGAGACGAGCACCACTAGCCTGGGCTCCCTTGCACACCTGTTGCCATCTGCTCGGTCTCAACTCAGCAGGGTGGCTTGAGCCCCCAGCCCTTGCTGCGGCCTGCGGGTGCCTGTGTCACCTGCCCCTGCCTCCAGACTCCTCCCCTTCCTTCCTCACCCCCGGCCCTCACCAGCTCTTCTGTGTTCCAGAAAGATGCCCGCCTCTTTCCTACCTCGGACCTTTGCATGGACTGTTCTCTCTGCCCGGAACTTTCCTCCCTAGCTGTCTCTGGTTCCCTTCTCCAAAGGCCCTTTCTGATGGTTCCCCTGAGATGACCCGACCTCAACTCCTTGCTGCCTTTCTCTCATAACCTGATCACAGTTCATTTTGTTTTGTTTTAACTTGTAGTCTGCCCTCTGCTGTGCTCTGGGACTGTCCTCCCTCCTGGGTCCCCAAGGTGCTGTCTGGACCCTAGGATGCTCAGTCTCTCTCTCTAAGGCTTCCCATGAAAGCCAGCCACTGTCTTGGAAGGTGGCGATACCCCACCCCCAGAGATGCTCAAACATCAGACTAGACGGCTGCAAGGGTCCAGCGGCATGCAGTGTGGCCAGGAGTCGTGATTCTGGCCTTGGTAAGTCTGTCACTCGAAGACTGTTGGTGCACGTTTTTGTGATCTTCCCTTGACTTCCTTTTTGAGTCTGGCTATCCCACATGGACATCCTTCCCACACTTGCGTCTCCTTCCTTTTCTCACCCTCTTGCCTCCCAAGAGGAGCTGAGTGCTGTTGCAGCCTGGGTCTCACCCAGGACAGGCCAGCTTCTCACTGGCAGGTTGCCGCCCCTCACAGCCGAGCTTAGCAACTAGAGCTCCTGTCCCCTTGGGGCTGGACCTGAAAGGGTGACCCAGGGGCGGTCAAGTGCCTGTCCTCAGGGTGGCTCAGAGTCCCTGCTTTCCACGAGCCGGTTGCCAGGGCCACCTTGTTCCTCTGCGGGCCCAAGAAAGGAAGGCAGGACTGCACTACCCTCCTTCAAGGGTCCCCTCTGCTGAACCCAAGTCTGGTCTACACGGGCTGAGTCTACCAAAGTAGGAAGAGACCACATTCCCCGTCTTCCTGAGGTCCTCTGGATCCGATGCCTGAGAGTGTGTGGCACTCTTGAGCAAGTGCATACGTGCTTACATGTCCATGTTCACACACACATCACATGCGTGTGAGGAAAAGACAGCACATGCTAGACTCCTATGCAGAAAACACATTTCCCTGTCTGCGGTGTTGAGAACATTTTGCCAAGTCACACTCTGAATGAAAGCTCTTGACCCACGAGGGGGAGTTGGGTCTCCACAGACTGCCAGGGTGCCTGCATGCATAAAACCTCCTTATATATGGGCAAGGCCCATCAAAGAACAAAGCCAGTGCTAAGGAAATGGGAAAATAAATGTCCCAGGAGTGGGGAAGCCAGAACCGCCTGACTTACAGGACTCTAAGTTTTCAGCTTTCTCCTGCTCTCCTTTCTTTAAAAACTTAAACCAGAGTGAGCTGGATTCCTGCCACCAAACCCACAGCCAGGGCCTGGGCCCTGGTGGGCTCCCAGCGGCCTCCCCTTTCTGATGGCTGTTCAGGTCACAGAACCACACCGAAGCACCATCCACGCAGAGGGGAGGGCGCTCATGGCACAGCCTCCGTGTGGGGCGTCTGGGGTGCTGAGGAGGCCTCGCACAGGCCGTACAGTAACCTGGAACCCCACTGGTCTTCCTCTTCTCATTGCATGTCTTTTACATTTGTTGGAATTTTCTACTCTGGAAAGTGGCCCTTTAAAAAAAAAAAAAGGCCAACAAGATTACCTAGGAAGCTTGAGTCCCCTAGAAAATCTGGATCAGGGGTTCTGGGGGGGAGCCTGTGTCCAGGCACCTGGGGATGGCCCACCAGGGACAGAATGACTGGACCAGATGACTCCAGGGGCCTTCCAGCTCAAGTTCTATGAGTTCTGACCCCATGCCAACCCATGGAGCCCCAGATCTGCCTAGATGTGACCCTGTGCAGTGCACTGTGTGGCCTTCAGAAGCACAGACTCATAAGAGCAGGCTGTTGATAATAGCAGTGGCTATTTATTTGGCACCTGCTGTATACCAGGTGTTTTTCCTGTTTCATCTCGCTCCATCTCCTCAGCAGCCTTGTAGGGAGTGTTACTGTCCTGTTTTTCAGATAAGAAAAGTGATGCTTACAGGACAGGACAACCTGCTCAAGCCCACGTGGGCAGAAGGCAGAGCTGAGCAATGAGCCCAGGGTCTGAGCCTTTGCCTGAGAGTGAGGACAGTGGTTCTGATGTGTGGCCTCCCAAGCCCAGTGCCCAGGACCCAGCAGGGGCAGGCAGATGCCTGGCCTTTGTGCTGACCCTGGGTTTGGTGGTTTGGGTTCCCTGTTCCCCTTGGTCCCCGTGAGGCACGTTTTGAGAACCCCATTCTGCAGCCGAGGAAACTGAGGTTCGGAGAAGGACGCGGCATGCCCAGTCTTCACGAGCTGGAACCCAGCGTGAGTCCCCAGGAAAGGCCCTTCCATCCACACAAGCCGAGGCCAGCTGGCAGGCCAGGAGAGTCTTGGGACTTGAACATCCTGTTTTTCCCTCAGCCATGCTGTTTGAGTTGGTTGTAACGCCTGGTGCACTGGGCCAGTGTCAACCCGGAAAGTACGGGTGCCTGCTTGGCTTTGGCCTTTGGAGGACTGGCACAGAACTCAGGGCATCCTGGGTCTCTGCCCTCTGTTCGCCCACCTGCCACTCGGCAGGGACCCGGGGCCTGTCCTCAACATGGTGTGACCAGGGTCGAGGGTGGATAGGACTGGCGGCTCTGGGAGCCAGGGGTTCCTCACACCGATCACATCTCCACCGTCAGGGTGCAGAGTAGGGCAGCAGCAGGAGAAGGTGACAGCCAGGCCCTAAGAGCTCAGCCCAGCAGACCCCGCCGCGGCCTTCCTGTGGCCCGGGACCGTCGTCAGGCCCCCTTCCCTGGCTTCCCACAGACAGCCGGGGCCCTTCTTCCCCCGGTTGTGGGGCAGAGCCGAGGGCTGTGCTGAAAGCTTGTGAGCCCCTGGGGCTGACCTTGATGTGCTGACCTCGGACCTGGCACGGGCCCAGGCCTCAGTCACCTCATCTGTAAAATGGGTGAACACCCCTGTCCCTGGGCCTTGGCAGCACGATGGACAGGCAGGGGCCTGGGAAGTCATAGGGCTAGTGGGGGGCTCTGAGGGCAGCAGGCAGAGCTTTGCCCGGGCTGCGGCAGGCCTGGGTGTGAGCCCTTGCTCTCTGCTGGTTGCTGGCCATGAAGCCAGGGGCCACGAAGCCAGGGGCTTCACCCTGCCAGGCCTCAGGCTCTTCATCTGTGAAGTGGGACTCCTTACAGTCCCCACCTCCAGGTGTGCCGGGCAGATGCAGCTGGATGACGCAAGGGAGAGGTTGAGCCCGTGGCCACCCTCAATCCCAGCCACACTACT